TTGGGGTAAGGTGACCAGACATCCCACTTTTGGCGGGACAGTCCGACTTTTGGTGTTTTTAGAAAGTCCCGATTTTTTTGAAAGAATGCACGACAAGCTAGGGAATGGTCTATTTGGTCCATATAGACCAAATTTTTAATCAAGACCCCTCCCTCCCCCAGTCAATGGTGTCCCGCTTAAAATCTGGTCACCTTAGGTTGGGGAGAAATAGAGAGCTAATAATAGTGAATACAAGAAAGAAGAAAACGTTATAAAATGGATTGTGAGGATGATTGCACAACTGTCTCTTATATGATTGAACTACTGAATTGAACGGTATGTGAATTATATATTAATAAAACTTAAAGGCATGTCATGGTTTTCATCTTGTGTCAACTGGGTCTTTTTATCTACGGTGCTCAGCTGTTTGGCCAAATATTCATCTATGTGTTGTTGTGAACACTTTAGAATTTACACTCAGTAAGCTCTAAGCAAATGTCATTTCCTTTTGTAATGTGGGTGGGCCTTATCCTTTTGTAATGTGGGTGGGCCTTATCCTTTTGTAATGTGGGTGGGCCTTATCCTTAGAGCAAAAATAGAGACTTCTCAGACTATAGTGTCAACTCGTGCCCAAGTTTCCAGCTGGCTGGTCCACATTACAGATTTCAGACTCAGGATTGCTGGGGTTGCCAGCCTGCCACCTGACCTTGACCCTTGCTACCTCCAAAACCTCCTTTGCTAGTCCCTTAAATCCCCACCACCACCACCCCTTTCTCTCCTCTTTCTCTAGAGATCTCAGTATCTTTTCAATACTGATAGAGGCCGGAGATAGGTGAGAGGTGACCCGGGCTTGTGGGTGAGGATAGAGGAGTCTGACTCATAGAAACCTTGTCTAGCAGAATAGAACTGTTTTTCCGTGACTGTGAATCTTCGCAGCAGGAGACAGACAGCCTCATCTTTCTCTCGCAGAGTTGCTGGAGGCTCAGAACCACTGATCTTCTGGGTTACAGCCCAATGGATAATGCACAAGGGAAACAGAGCCCTTTCGCACCAAGGATGACTTACAATTCTGACTGCTCTCTAAACAGAAGGGACACATTTGGACTGGACTGTGGATTCTGTAGGCGAGGTCTCTCCCCGTAGTGGGCAACCGAGGGAAGGTCAGATCGTGCTGAGCAGCTGCTGACAACCGTGAAAAGGACTGATGGCTATGACAAAGTCTCTCCACAGAGAGCATCAATCAAGGAGGATGACTGACAGCAGAGTAAACATGTTAGAGCTGCAGTAATTAGGAATATATTAGCAATTAAAATAAACTTATTATCATTAGCAAAATTGGCAGTTCCTTGCAACTTCCCCAGGGGGCTCATTTCAATGTTACCGTGGAGGAGGTTTTGGGAGCTGCAGTTTGCATTTTGGGTTGGGGTGAGGGTGGGAGTGGGTGGGGGTGGGGTTTCTTATCGATGGGATCGTCCTTGGTGAGCATCGTTTCCAAGGACAACCAGAGATCCCAGGATTCCCAGCAGCTGAACCTTGGTGTTTTAATACTAAACCCCAGGTGCTGTAGGCCCACTTCTCCGGAAACATTAAAAAATGAGCAGATGAAACTTTTGAGTGTAAATAAGTTATGTTAAGCCTTCAGCACCTGCTTGTCTACCAGGAAGTGTAGGGTTATGTGAGACCCCCTGGCTTCTGAGCAGATGACAGATCTGGGACACCGTGGAAACCACCCTTTCCAACTGCACCATCTGCCCTCAGTGGGACCGTGTGCTAAGATTTGACACAGACACAGGGGCAAGAGGGAGCACTCCGTATCCTGCATCCTTGGGCTCTCGCCCATCTCTCCTCTAGTGGAGTGGGCATCTTTGAGCGTCACTGTGCTTCCGAGTTGGGAACTGATCTGTCCAATGGGGAAAATCATGCTACTTGCTTTTTAGAGTCTATGGGGGTGACTGGGTGCTACATCTTCAAAACACAAATTGTTCACCTTTAGTGAGCGCTTCCTGTATACCAGAACCTCTTCTAAGGTTTGGCGTGTATTGTCACGGTTCCTCTGCACAGTGGCCGGCCGGGGGAAGTCCTGCAGTAACTATTTGCTGGTGGGAGGACGAAGGAAACGGGGAATAGAAGGGAAGGAAGAAGTAAGAAAATGGGTGGAGGAAGACGGGAGGGAGGAAGGAATGGACTGAGGAAGGGCCTGTCTACAAACTTGAAAGCTTGGCTTACTGGTCTTGAAGTGACAGAAAAGAAACGATCCTCATGGAACAGGAAGACACCTGCAGTGGGGTTTAAGGACAGCGCCAGTTACACATCCTGAAAACGGAAACTTCGATAAGAGAACGGAGATGGGAAGGGGCGCCCTTCTCTAGGTCCATGTCCCTGGTGTTTCTGCACACCACGCTGGAGGACGGTGTCCACTCACTGGTGTTTTTAAAGACCCACTTAAGAGCTGCTTCCACTGACACAGACAAGATGTTGCCCTAATGGTTCAGCAAGCCCACCCCGCTCCCCAGCCTGCGTCTGTTTTGAGGAATGATTTGCATAAACAGATACATGCCATGCCTCTGAAACGATCACATTCCGTTGGAAATGAGCTGTGCCCCACTGGGAGGTGTCGCTTTGTGATTTATGTCTCAGTCCCCTTTCCTGTCAATGGAGCGTAATCAGCACAGTCCCTTGTACACCCGTCCTTCAGGCCCTGCTGGTCCCTTGGGGCTGAGAGGCACCGTGGCTGCAGTGTTCAGTTGAGGAAGGACACTGCACAGCTGGCCACGACAAGTGATGGTCCTTCTGCCTTTTCGTCCAAGGTCCTTCCAACTGAGTGGAGGTCCATCCTGTCAATACCCTGCCACTGGAGAAAAGATCTCATCCTGGGCTGTGTAGACAGGGTCCCAAGACTAGGAATTTTCCCATGGCCCGAAGGATGGGCCTTGCTGAGCAGTCCCCTAAATCCAAACAAACCGAGTCCCTCCTGACTCATGGTGACCTCCTGTGTTTCAGAGCAGAACTGCCCTAGGTAGGGTTGTAGTCGCTGCCATCACAAAGGAAACAGGTGGCCAGACCTTTCTTCTGCAGTACCACCTGATGAGGTTGAAAAGAACTGTGTGCACCACCTCCTTGAATGTGGACGGCTCTGCAGGGATCCTTCTTAAGTCACAAGATGTAGCCCTGGCGTCCTGGACGACCAAGGCCGTAGAGAGACTAGCTGGCTTTTCATTCATTCATTCAAGACCGATTCATCAGGGCCCGACGAGTGTTGGGAATTGTGCTGAGGGCGAGAGTTCAAAGGTGAAAACACTCCCTCCACTAAGTAGACAAGTACATACCAAAGACTGCAGGCTTAGACACGGGGTGCTGGCTCATCCACTGCCTAATAAGATATCTCACTGAGCTTCCGATTCTTGTCTTAACATGTAGATTTTATATAATTCAATCTGTATAGAGGTGTCATACATAAACTGTCTTGGAAGAAGTACAGCCAGCATGCTCATTAGAGGTGAGGGTGGCGAGACTTCCTCTCATGCACTTTGGACATGTTGTCAGAAGAGACACAATAACAACAACAACAACATAAAACCGCGCTGCCATTGAGGCGATGCTGACTCATTGTGACCCTACTAGATAGAGTAGAACTACCCCCATGGGCTTCCAAGAGTGTAACTCTTTAGTAGAAAGCTTCATCTTTTTCCTGTGCAGTGGCTGATGGTATCAAACTGTTGACCTTTCGGATGGCTGGAAAAAGACATGGAAAAAGATGGTTTGACACAGTGGCTGCAGCAGTGGGCTCCGACATAGCAATGGTGAGGCTGGCACAGGACCGGGTGGTGTTTCATTCTATTGTCCACAGGGTTGCTATGGATGGCATCTAACAACACCAATCTAGAGGTGAGAAATCATCCATCTCTAGGGCCTGCTGCGAGGCTTCATTAAGACCTTCAGGGCACTTGGGCAATGTTGAGCATGCAATGCTTGAAATAGCTCGGAGGTTTCCGTGTGACAGCTCCACTGTTGTTTGGAGAGTCATAAGGCCCCTGCTCCACGGGAAAGACCCCCGGCTTCTTTGAGAACTAGAGGGCTGAGGAGAGAATGGAGCTCAAGGGTAGAAGCTCAGAGCCAAGGCGTCAGGTACCTGGCTTGCAATTGCTCTTGAGGCCTGGAATTGCTCCAGAGTTCTGGGCTGTCCACCGCTGGGTTTTCCTGACTCAGAGGTCCATGCCCTAGATACAGGAACCAACTGCTGTCAGTAGTTGAGCAGCTCTTTTGGTTGGACTTCTCCCCAGTACCAGGATTCCTCCACAAGCTAGGTCCTTTTTAATTTCCATGTCAGCTCACTGTCAAAATGCCCAAGGCGACACGCAAAGGAGTATTTGCTAAGGAGCCCTGGTGGGGCACAGTGGCTTATGCACTCAGCTTCGAACCACAAGGTCAGCAGTTCAAACCCACCAGGGAATTGACCGATGGCGGCGTGGGTGTGTTTTGGTTTGAAGGCCTTGAGCTAGTACAGGGAGCGGTGGGCAAATCCAGTCCTGCTGGCTCCAGAGGGCAATCGATCAGCTACAGAGGGAAGACGACGTGAGACTCAGAGTCAGCAGGGAGAGTTCATCATTAGAGAGGCTCTGGTGCCGCAGGCAGTGGCTTAAGGTCGCTGGTGTTAGAACCAGCCCTGAGGGAGAAAGGCCTGGTGATCTGCTTCGCTAAAGAGTGCAGCCTGGGAAGGCTACAGGGCAACTCTACCAAGGGTTGGAGGCACCTGCACAGCAGGTGGTGGATGGATAGGCATGCTGGCGTATTCATCTGGTGAACTGCTGGATGGAAGAAGAAGCGGTTCCTGGCAGGTCGAGGTCGAGAGGGGCAGGGAAGAGGGGCAGGTTCACGCTAGGGATTCCTTCCACGCCCGGTTTCCCTTGTTCCCCTCTCTGAAAGGCAATCACGGCGCGCCCTGACCCCGCGCGGCCGCCGTAGAGTCCCCCGTTGCCATGACTCCCAGGGTGCTGCGCCGATCCACTAAGCTGGGACCGTGAAAGGCAAGAGAAATCTCGGGGGTCGCGCACAGGCTGAAGCCGATCGGAGGGGCGCCATGGGCCGAAGTAAGCACATCTTCCCTGCCGCCTTCCTTGTCTCCACTCCGGCACCGTCCTGGACGACACTGACCCGTGACCTTGGCCTGGAGCCCCGCCTAGCTGGTCAGCCTAGCCTCGGTCGTGCACCAGGCGCTGGAGTGGATCAGTCGGCCGGTGCAGGTGCCTCGGCTGGCCAGCAACCTGGCCCTTTGAGCGCTCCAGCTCCTCGTCTGTAAAATGGCCACAAGGGTTGGGTGAGCGGGGTGCAGTGGGCAGTGGGGGGGTGAAGGGGGGTGCCGAGGGCGGTGCGGTGGAGCGGGGTGGGGGTGGGGGCGGGAGGCATCTCAGATGCTGGGCCCCGTCAGGGTCACCTGGCGCGCAGCGTGGTCCCGGGCAAGTCTTACTCGCACGCTCTTGGAGAGCAGCCTTCAGGGTCACTCAGTAGGGCAGGGTCGCCTAGTGGTTAAGCGCACCGGTGTCCCAGCCAGGTTTGAAGTCGTAGTTCTCTTGCCTCCTCGCCCTGAGACTTTGAGAGGGGAACTTCACCCAGATAGGGTCTCCGTGTTCCTATCTCCACATTCAAGACAACAGTCGTTTTGGTTAAATGGATAATTACTCTCCCGGGAAGGATGCTCCTAGCACTGTGGTTAAGCGCTCTGCTGCTAGTCCAGAGGTCTGCATCCTGATGCGAGGGGAGAAAAGTCTGCCATCTCATCCCTTCAAGATTGAAATCCCAAACCAAACCTGCTGCCGTCATTCCCAGCTTAGAAAGCGCCGTGGGGTGGCCCGAACAGCTCCAGCCGCAACCCTCCTCTTGGCTGTGGTCTGTTCCTGATGAGTCAGCAGGTGTGTCCTCTGTGCGGATGAGCTCATCCGAGTCCCAGGTGCAACTATAGGAGGGCTCTGCTGCATCCCCTTTAAACTACCAGAAAGGAGAAGCGTCCTGTTCAGTACCTTGCCCCCGTGATGTGACCGATCAGCACTGAAGCTGAGATGCTGACCCTGTAGTCTTTATAAGGTTACTCCAAATCACATCAGAGGAAACTTTGTTTCATATTACATTTACTTCCTTCAAACTCACTGCCATCAAGTTGATTCTGACCCACAACGACCCTATGGTACAGGGTAGAACTGCCCCTGTGGGTTTCTGAGACTGGAACTCTTTATCGGAGTAGAAAGCCTCCGATTTCTCCTGTGGAATGGAGGGTAGTTTTGAACTGCTCACCTTTAGGATGGTTGCCCAACTCTTAACCACTGTGCTTTTCAGCTCATCTTAAATATGCAACTGCCACTGGGCCCCATCCACCCTCCCGCACAGCCCTTAGATTGTAGACCTCTCCAGCTGCTCACGCCGAACCCTGTGTTTCTTGTTTTTGTTAAGTTGCATTCGATTGCTGAGTTCGGTTGTGTGCCTTTAGCCTTTAGCTTTTTGAGATGGGTCATGTGCTAGATATCAGGTGTTGTGTTCTTCTGCCCACACTTTCTGAGTGTGTTTTATGAACAGGTTTGCTTTACCAGGAGATGTGGTGCCACAGTTAAAGTGCTCGACTGCTCATCCAAAGCTCTGCAGTTAGAACTCACTAGCTGCTCCCCGAGAGAAAATACAGACGGCCAACTTCCTTAACGACTGTCGTTGCCAGGTACCGTGGAAGGAGCCCTGGCAGCCTAGTGGGTTATGCATTGGGCTGCTAACCTCACTCGTGGTCAGCAGTTTGAAACCACCAGCTGCTCCTTGGGAGACAGACGAGGCTTTCTACTCCCATAAAGGATTACGTTCTCAGAAACTCCCAGGGACAGTTCTACCCTGTCCAACAGGGTCATTGTGAGTGGGCATCGACTCGCTTTTGAGAGGTGGTGTGAAGTCCGTTGCTATTCTCAGTGACCCCATGTACGGCGGAGTGAAGCACCCACCAGCATCCCTGCACCAGCGCCCCTCGCAGTGGTTGCTCTACTAGAGCCCATTGTTGTACCACCCTGCCAGTCCCCCTCGTTGAGGGCCTTCCTCTTTCTCGGGCCCCTCCACCTTCCTGAGCACCATGTGCTTCTCCAAAGACGGGTTCCCCTGCGAGCATGTTCAGGAGACAAGTCTCACCACTCTCTCGCTTCTAAGGGGCGTTCTGGCCGACCTTCTTCCAAGGATGCATTGGTTTGCTCTTCAGGCAGTCTGTGGTGTTTTCCATATTCTTCACCAACATCTTAAGGGAAAGGCATCGGATCTTCTCTGGCCTTTCTTATTCATGGTCCAACGTTCACCTATGATTTTATTAACGGAAACAGCTTTAAAATGGGTCACAAGAAAGATCAAATGATAAGACATCGCATTTTAACCTAACTGCCACAATCTGCTTTATAGTGTTTCTGTCTGATAACAGGGCTATTTGCACCCCTTGACTATAGTCTGGGGAGATTCACCAGAAGCTTAATCCATGTGTGGACCCTGCAAATGGATTTGGGGCTTCCACTGTCATCCATAGCCTTCTCCGCAAGCAAGGTACAGTGAACCCTCGTTTATCGCGGTTAATCGGTTCTAGACCCTACTGTGATAAATGACATTCCGCGAAGTAGGATTCCTTATTTGTAAATCAAATATTTTCGTAGTTCGAGCATAGAGGACATGAAAAAACACCCTTTAGTCACCATTACACTCATATTACCCAATTTATTAAACGAAAAAGGGAAAATACAGTAAAACATTTTGGACGTTACAATTATCATTTATTATTTATTATATTATTTATGGCATCAAGCGTGTACAGTATGAGCCAATCAGTGGCAGTAATGACAGAGCATGCGCTGTTACGCAAAAACCACGATAGAGTGAAGCCGCGGAAGTCGAAGCGCGAAGTGGCGAGGGTTCACTGTATTCAGAATTTAAGCGCTGATGCCACTCCCACTTTTAGATTTGGAGTATATTATTTACAATCCTTGAATCACAGAGGCTGGTGTGCTTCTTATCTGTGGATTTAGTTGAAACTTCACTTAGATGACTGCTTATATGAAAACAAGCCTTTAAGACCCCAGGCGCCAGGCACCATGTAGTTTCTTTGACACTTTACTCTAGCATGCATATCTTCAGTGACTTCTTCATGAGGGAGAACATCAAGCAGGGCTCTGTCATAAGAACTAATTGTTCTTAGATTGGAGCTGGAATTAAGTGCAAGCCCCAGATCCATTCTGCGTCTCTGGTTTATATATGCATCTGGTTCACCTTAGAGACATTATTTTTGTTAGAGAACATGATCAATCATCCCCCTGGGGCATCACTTCCACTGCCATCAAGCCAACGCAGACTCAAAGAGACTCTGTAGGACAGAACCAAACTACCCCTCTGAGTCTCCTCAACCTTCCCCTGTGGAGCTGGCTAGTGGTTTCGAACTGCTGACCTTGATATTAGCAGCCCAATGTGTAACCACCATGCATGGAGAGCATCATTAGTTTAGCCAATGGTGTAGAATTTAAAACACTGTTAAGAAAAGGAAATTATATGAGTATAGGCCCGCTATGAACCTCAACATGTAAACTGTTGACTTGTACAGATTTAACTCTTCAGTGACTGGTCACTATTTACACAAAGATTTGCTCTATCACCAACCTCCACCCCCCCGCCACCCTGTTGTGTAAATACTGTCTAATCACTTAAAATGAAATTCTTGATAAGGACTTGACTCCTTTCTCTGCTTCTGATGATGTTACTTATTGATCCAGTTATGAGGATTTTTACTTTGTGCTGAGACACAATCCATACCAAAGACTAGAGTCTGGTTTTCATCGGTAAGTGCTTCAAACTCTCACTTTTAGCAATGAAAGTTGTGTTATCTGTACACTGCAGGTTGTTAACGAGCCTTCCCCCAAGTCCAATGGCTTGTTCTTCTTCCTATAGTCCAGCTTCTGCGATGATCTGCTCAGCATACAGATTGGAGAAGTGAAAGACTGCAGCCCAAATGGACCCCTTCCTTTCCTGGTTTTAAACCACGCAGGATGCCCTTGTTCTGTTCAAACTGCTGACTATTTGATTTACGAACAGGTTCTGTCTGAGCACAATGAAGTGTTCTGGAATCCCCATTCGTCACAGTGATATCCAGAATTTGTGATGATCCGCACTGTCAAATGCCGTTGCATAGTCAATTAAACAGAAGTAAACATCTTTCTGGTATTCTCTGCTTTCAGCCAAGATCCATGTGACAAGCGTCGAAGATATTCCCTCATTCCACTTCCTCTTCTTTCCAGTTCCTGCTGCAACTGGTTTTGAATTAGCTCCAGCAAAATTATATGTTCTTGATGTTAATGGTATTGCTCAGTAATTTCCAAGTTCTGTTGGATCACCATTCCTTGGAATAGTCTCACCTATGGGTCTCTTTCGGGTGATTGGCCAGGTACCCATCTTCCAAATTTTTTGGCACAGACTAGTGAGCACTTGTAGCATTGCCTTCATTTGTTGAAACGTCTTGATTGTTTTTCCATTAATCCGTGGTCTTTTAATTTTGTTTTGCCAGCGCCTTTAAGTGCAGCTGGGACTTCTTCCTTCAGTGCCATCAGTCTCGGTCCCACACTCCCTACTGCAATAGTTGAATGAATGTCAGCCACATGCTTATGGTACAGTGAATCTGTGTATTGCTTCCATCTTTTTATGCTTTCTGGACAGTCTAATGTTCTGTCCGTAGGTTCCTTCAATACAGCAATTCAAGGCTTGATTCCCACCCCCCACCCCTTCAGTTCTGTCAACCTGAGGGTTCCAAGCCTATTCTTCTAGCTCCAGGTCTTTGCACATTTCACATAACACTTTCCTTCATTTTCTTGAGCCACCCTTTGAAATCTTCTGCCCAGCCATATAGATGACAGTCTTGGAAACTCCGTGGGCCAGTTCTGCTCGGTCCTAAAGGGCTACCATGTGTTTGAGTGGACTCAAGGATAACAGGTGTGGCTTGGGTTGGGTTTTGGCTTTACAAGGACAATGTTTGCTATATATAAAAAAGAACTTCTAAGAAAATAGCCTCAAGAAATTGTGCTGCTTGACATAGCAAGCCCAT